GTTAATCTTTGTCTTCTGCTATTTTCTTTTTCTGTTTGTATCTAATTGCTCCACATTTTTTTTGGTGGTATGATACTTGGAACCAAGTGCAATAATACAACAGTTCTTTTACAATTAACACCTTTGTAGCAACAAGATCACAGCTGCATCACATACAAATTCATGCCCATTTTTTTCTAGTATAAACCTGAAACAGCTTACACCACCATGGTTCTCCCAATTTATTAAACTTGTGAAATTATTTTCTTTAAAGAAATATTAAAACTTCACTATGACTCTCAATTTTCAGTGTCATTTTTCACATCTTTTTCCCCTTCCCTAATCTAGTACTTCCTGTACTAAAATCATTAGTTAGTGACATTCACTTTTGTTTGTTGATGATTAACAAATTCAGTTTTCTAATAATGCTTTCCCAATAGTCATAGGATCCAGTGTGAATACTCAATCCTGTTTTAATTTAATACATACCATCCATAAATTACGACTGAGATGATGTTACACAGAACAAAGTTTTATTTTAAGATATTACATCATGCTAGTATTATAAAACCTTACAAACAACTCCAAGTGTTTCCACAATTAATATAATTAAGCAAGTTTAGAGGTCTTTGCTCAATGATATCACACTTCTTAAATTACTGTTACAATATTACTGCAAGGCAGTAGCATTAGGTTTGCAGTCACAGGCTGGTACTTAGATTTCTAACATAAATTCAAAATTTTAACCAGCATCTTGTTTAAAACTGATGCTTTAGAACTCGAATGTTCTAAAAGACTTGAGAGATAATGCGAGTATTTGGCTAGAGTGGAAATGGGAAACTTCAAAAAACTGCTTTTAGCTCCAGGATGAAAACAAGTTTTCTTTTGAGTAAAGACATTTAAAGACATTAAAAACATTTTTTTAAATTCAGAGAGTTAGATCTGAATCACTTTGTGTCTTTAGGTCACCTGTTATAATGATGAAACTCATGAAAGACAGTAAAACATTGAGTATTTCAATTTTAACAAATAACACTGTGAAACAGGAACAAAACAGTTTTGCTGAGGCCCTGATCAGCTCAATACATACTCTTTGGACTGTTTCATTTTGGACTACCAGTTGGACATCAGGTGTACTCCTGGAACACAGCTTCCACTGTGGCATCATCCAAAAGCACACATCTGGTCTGTGGTAAAGACACTGTGTAGATCTGTGTTTTAGCTAATATTCCTATTAAAATTTCAACTCTTCCCTGCTGTTCTTGAAGTATACAAGCTCTTTCATCTATTACCAGAAACTTACCTATCACACAACTGTACTTGTTCTTTCCATGTAGATTATAAGTTTTGTATGATTCAAGTGACAACAAATTGCTAGGCATGTGAATGACATTTTAAAGAATGATTTTGAAAAAGCAGTGGGTAGACTATGGAAGTGAAAATTGGCCATTTTAAACTCCTCTGCAAGACCATATCAAGCATGTCTAATCAGTCTCATTTGAGTCTCATTATGAGTCTCTAATGAATCTCATTTACTCTTTTGGTGTGCATTTTGTAACAGCAGTTTCTCTACCATCAGGAATATTTACTTCCTTTGATCATATGATGAATTACATTTCTTTGTGTAACACTTCACCAAAAAAGAAAACATCATTAGGATATTGACCTGCTTGTTTCAGGATGTAGATAACTCACTTAAGTATCAGTATAAGCTATGAGTATATTGAGTATTGAGTTTATATTGAGTACCAGTACAAGCAACAAAACAAGGACAATAATACCTTACTCAATAATTTTGGCAGACCTACAACCAAGAGTTTATTTTAACTGCATGATTTAAACAGTGATGCTAAACACAATACCTTCCCTAGTGCTTCCACCTAACTACCATCACTGTTAGCAAGACGCTTAGCTTCTCCTCCCCCACAAAACCTTCTTCCAAGTCACATCTTATATTTCTTTTGATTTATTAAGAAGTTGTTCTTCACAGAATCTAGAAACGCAGAACATCTAAGCCCATCCCACCCACAAGACAGGCTCAACCTTTTTTAAACTAGTCTTAAGAAGTATTTGCCTAATCTTCTGTTGCAGACTTCCACTCTGTAGGTCATCAAGTCCAGTAGAAGTTTTCCCTAACATTTAACTTAAATCCCTTTAGCTGTAATTGAAACCTATTATCTCTTGTCTTCTCCACAGGAATTACAAAGAATAATTTCCTCTCCATGGTAGCCTTTAACATTCCTGAAGGTATTTAACATGGCTTCCTTTACAAAGTCATCTCTGCTCTAAACTAAACAGCCACTCTTCCTACAGTGTTCAAATGTTATGCTTTCCAGATCGTCACTGATGTTACTCTCTTCTGTGTTCCTTTAATAAATCTCAATATCTTTTTTTTCCAAGTGGAATGGCCAAAACTGAGCAATATATTAGAGATGAAGACCTACTCAGATTGAACAAGTCTCTCTGGCATACAACATGCTACTTTACACATTTTATGTTGTTTTTTGAGTCTTTTTCAATAGCATGGCACTATATTTATTAGCTTGTAAGTTGCATAAGTGCTACCTAACATCTTGAATTTATACAACTGATCATTTCTAAGAGAGATACAAGCCACTTACTATCATTTTTTTCCACCAGACCTCCCCCTTTCTTAAGCACATATTCCATTTACCTTTACGTGGTTTTAATCTTCTATGAACTGATTCAATCTACTAATCCAAAACAAAATTGGAACAAAAAAGGAACAGCTTTCTTCCAACTTAACAAACCAAATCATGTCAGTAAAAGCTTCAACACAGACCAGGGCTAGTGCAAGGAAAGACAGCCATCCAGCTCTTCATTTTGACAACTGCATGTGAAAATACATACTTTGTGCTTACATTTGCATTTTTTCTTATTTTCCTTTTGTCTTCCCCTTCCCTGACCAATATATTTTTTTAGTCCAGAAAATTGAATAAAGGTAATCTGCTGTCTTCTCCAGACCACTGATAAACAGATTCCTGGGAATCCTGCTTTCCAGTTTGATTACAAACAATTCTCTTGAAGAATTCTTTTAATATTTTATTAATGTTAATGTCTCTGGGACTGCTTGAGCCAATTCTGATATGCTTCACTGAATTCCATCAAGTTTGAGTGATTTTAATGCATCTGATTTATCTAAGTAGTCTCTAGTTTGTTTTTTCTGTACCTGAATACTTCCTTTATGTCACTGATCATATGTAACCATATGAACAAAGCTGACTGCTATGCTAAAGACTGAATTAAAACAAGCATTCAAGCTCAGTTCCTTCTTGTTTTGCCAAAGAAAACCAACTCTTTTCTTGCTTATTCTTCTAGTGTTACTGTATTTTCATTAATCATTTTGCCCTTCACTATTTGCATCTCATTTAACATCTTCTTCATTTTGTCTTCAATTTTAGAATATGTTTATTTTCATAATTTTCACTTAGGTACTCCAAGAACCCTCTGAATAGTTTCTTTCCTGCCATATATCTTTTTCAACAATACTGAAACACACAAATACTTATGCTCTGACAGTACTCACAAAAAGGAAAACAAGGACCATTTTTACCATTAATTCTTACCTACAGTTTTTCAACGGGTTAATCTCGTACATGCTATTTAATTCAATGAAATAAAAAAAACACACACACACACACACACAACAACCCCCGCCAAACAGCTGATACATAAAGCTGCCATTCCTTCTTTCCCCACCCCATACCTGTCCTTGAATAAAAGGTATCATTCAATATTGTGCCACAGTTGTATCTACCAGTGGTATCCAAGTATTAATTTAGTCTGTCACTGTAAAGTGGATTTCCTCAAATTATTCTACAGTAAGTCCTCTGACGTAACTGGCACCAGAACAGGGATAATGTTTAAGCAATGGTATTACAATTGCCATACATGGCACTACTCTTTATCATTTATCATATATGTACATAAGAACTACTCTCTTTTCTACACTTCCACTAGCAGTTCCTTTTTTAACGTGTCCAATGACTGCATTCAGTGTCTTGCCAACAAGAGCTTATATTTATTTAGTGACAGTATGATTCCTAGAAGCTTTTCAGAGCCACTACTTTGTATAATATGGTGACAGATTTCATATACAAATTCCAGATACTGTATTTTTTAATTTGCCAAACTGGTTATTGATCAAGCTCAGAGATTCAAGAGAATCCATAACATTTTCTAACAATTGTTATGCTTTCTACTTTCGAATTTGTATAAAAAATGATATGATAAACGATACAGAGTAGAGTAATGGAAATTTTTCTGGCAATGACTTCACATTTTCTTTCAGATTTTTTATGTTGTTTGAGAACTGGACTAAGAACCCACTCCAGAACTGTGTCCAGCAACTCCAGAGTTGCCTTTTTTTTTTTTTTTTTTTTTTCAGTTCAGCTAACAAGGTGTTAAATCCTTATTCAGTAAAAATGCAATTTACCCATTATATACTTAACAATCTGTGTGCATTTAGTAAGAAATGGAATATAAAATTATTCTGATAAAAAGTGGGCACCCAAAGATCCCATTTTGCTAAGGTTTATGAAAAACAAACATGGAACCGACTTCTTGATTTTAAGTTCCCTTGGTATCATTCGGAAGAGGTATAGAAGTTTGAAGTCAATATCTTTGAGTTCAGAGTTAATCGTGTGTACCTTTAAGTACCTTTCCAAGTTGGACAGTCAGGAATACTTTCTATTTTGGAGGTCAGAATAGGTAGGTCCCCATTAAAGAATTAAATCAGTTATTTGAAAAAAATTATTTCAAATACAGAAGCCTGCCCAACTATAAATACGTAACTGAAGAACATTTGAAAGAACAAATGCTACCTGTCTAATTTATTTATATACTAGTATCCATTCATTCTTAAGGAAAACTAATTTTCTGGGGAAAAAAACCACAACATTTCAACAATATATCCATCTGAAACGCAAAACTATTAAACAACTTTAAAACTGTATTGTTAACTGGAGATCCACACAACACCTGCTACATTATAACCTTACCTTCCTTTTCTTTGGGTTTTAAAGCCTGCTCTTCTTTTTTTTGCTTTGCCTCCAGCAGTTCACGTTTCAGCTGTCGTGCTTCTTTCCGTAGCTCCTCACTGCAAAGGGAAAAATATTTACAAGAATTTAATCTTTTAGGAATGTAAAGCCACTCAGGAGAAACAGAATCAAAATTAATGGGCAGTAAATCTCTGATATAAACAAAGAGAATGTACTGACTCACTGATGCTAGGAAGATGGCTTAAAAATCAATTAGAACCTAGAAAAGTTCATATTTTCATCAGCAAAGACAACAAAAGAACATAACAGATGACTTATTTTAAGAGCCCATTAGAAATATGTCAAGGATATGAATAATAAAACAAAGAACTCCCATCTGTATTTTTAATTTAATATTGTAATATTAAGCTATAAGAACCACACAAAGAGATTTTGAAAGAGAGGCAGTGCCAAATAAATATTACATGTATTCTCTAATTCAGTTTCCTGAAGTAATAAATTCTAGCATCCTGGGTTTCTTAGATGGACAGACAATGTAGTTGCTACATAATAAAGACATGACAAGTATGCCAGGAAAAAATATTACATATGAAAATTAATTTAGTTTTAAAATGTTACAACAAATAACCAGAAATAACTAGAAAGAAGAAACCAAAAGTTTGCAAGACTGTGTATTAACATCAAATACAATGTCTGTCTTCACTGAATCACAAGATAGCTGAGGTTGGAATGGATGTCTGAACACCATCCAGTCCAAGTGACCTTCTCAAAGCAGGGCCAATCAGAGCAGATCGCTTAGGGCGCTGTCCAGTCAGGACTTCAAATATCCAGAGACGGAGTCTCCACAACCTCTCTGGGTAACCTGTTCCACTGCTTGACCACCCTCAGTGTGAAAAAGCTTTTTTTGTACATTTAAGTGGAATTTCTTGAATTTCAGTTCATGTCTATTTATGCTGTTCATACTGGTTACCAGTATGAAAGAACTGGTAACTGCTTCAAGTTTTTCTGTGTCAGAACCTGTATTTTCCACTTTTTCCAAAATGTAAGTTTTCATTTATTTAGTATTCAAAGTCAGTGCTTAACAAAAATAGCTACAGTGAAGGAATATGCCATGCAAGCACCTTCCTGCAGCTCTGTTATTACAATGTTACTTTCCTTAACCAAAGTCTTGGTACTATGGGATAATGACTTCTTTCAAATTTTATTTTCATTTGTGTATGTACAAAGACAGAGCTTGTGAAAAGTACTAGAAGTCTGTCATTGCAAAGGTACTCAAAAAATAGTAAATCTTTATTTTTAATTGCCAGAAACGATACTGAGGAAGATTAACAACTTTTACATGAGAATACAGCTCTACTTTTCTATCCTGATTTAAAAAAACAAAAACAAAAAACAAGGAAAGTGTTAGGAGACTTTGTAAACCCAAATTACTCTCTAACATTTATGTAAATTTTGGATAATTCAGTAAGCAAGCTGTATCACTACACCAATCTAGTATATTACAAGAAGGTATTTCTTACAGAATTCTGGCAAAATAACATACGTATCAATTAAAATTACACATCTGAAATATTTACAGCAATAAAAGTTAAAAAGATATATTCAGTTCTCGTTAAAAGTGGCAGCAAAAAGCTTGTGAAGATATCCCAGGTGCCTGGTAACTATAGGATTTCTTCTCTGTATTTCCAAAGTATGCAGCCAGGTACAATACAACTCTGCTCTCTCTCTTCCTCCTGGAAGAAACTAATTCTTCTTTGCAACTCATCAAGAGTGGATTACAAATGGCACTTATAATACAACAGTCCAGCACATCAAAAGGCTTTCTGTAAGAGGGACACACTCTCAGTTATCTTAAAGTACTGTGGAAGAAGAAGAACCTATCTCTTGATAACTATTCAGCCTTCCTATCTCTCTTTTGTTTTTCCAGTGGAAAGAGGTTTCTGAACAGAACACAGAAGGTCCTAATTCATTTACAGCCTAATTATAAAGTAATTTTTCAAGCTCCCTCTATGATCAGTACTAGGTCAAAATACAACTTTGATATTTGGCTTAAAGAGTACAGACTCTGAACTTCCTACATTTTTTATTTCTAGGGTCACTTCACAAAGTTAGGTAGGTGAGAGAGGCAACTCAAAAAACCTACATGCTAAGGAGGAAGCCCCAAGAACTGATTAATAGGAAAGCCAGAAGCCAGACTTACTGGTGTAGAATGAGAAATAACCAACTTCTTGAAATGGAAAACCATTAAATTGATGAAGTACAGCATAATCAAAATAAGGGACTACAAATCAGCCTGTACCTTCATGCTTCATATTTGAAGCATAGGTCTTTGTGTGCAGTAAATTTGCTGACATTTTATATACCTTCGCGTTTCTCAGCTTGTAGGCACTGCACTGTTGCCTCTTGTCACTGGAAAGTTTTTGTCACTGCAGAGGCATAGCTGTGTCGGGTGTAGGCTCTTCTCACTGCCCTCTTGATCCCACTGTTATGCTACAGACTTTTCTCTTGCTCTCACTCATTCTTCTTCCTCTTCTTTCCCCTTCCTGTAGTCTGTAATGTTTCCTCCCTCCCTCAGCACAGACTTCCAAAACAGATGCAATCACTTCCCTAGCCTACTCATCCCCTCATCCACAAATGGAATGCAACAAAATAAAACACAACTTCATTTTTGCTTCCTTAAGTGGCAGTACAAGTGTTAAATACAAATCATTTCCTTCCCAAATTTCATTTTTTGAAAATTTTGAAATGCAACTCATTCTTTCAAAATTCTAATCTTTTATCTCCGTATTTTGCAAAGAGCACTTCAATAAAATTGCTTAAGTACCAAGCTGGATTCTGGCTTGGAGATACTCCTTCTAAACATGGACCAAATTTCCAAATAGCAGTGATTTTTATTGCTTTTGGATGTGAAGTACATTTTACAGTAAATAAAAGCTGTAACTTTCCATAACTTCTGAAATACTGGCTAGCACTAGCTTATATGTAAACAACAGCTTTTAACCTTTTATCTGAAGTTGCTTAGCCTAAGTATTTTTCTCGAATTACTACAATCTGTTGTCTACATAACCCTCAGTATCTTTTTCTGACTGAAGTCCTGAAAGATAACAGCTGTTAAACAACTTTACAAAAGGCTTATACTATTCTAGGGCCAAGCATAATGGTCATCAACTATCTCAACCATCTGTTCCATATTCGAGATCAAGCAAAAAATAACTGTATGTGTGTACATGTGTATATATGCATGCATATGTGTAATAAATTATATATTGAACGTTTCTGAAAACAAGAATTATAGACAGTATTTATTTTCTCCAACATTACCAAAACTCTCTAGGAAAGTTAGCTCGAAGAAGCACTATGAGAAAAAAAATATCTGCAGAAAATTAAGGAAAACAGTTTCAGAAGAAAATGTGTAACTCCAGAATTCTTAATTGACTTCCTGAAAAAGAATTAAATTGTTTTACCTAGAAAATCTTAAAGGGATGAAGTCTAGGAATTCATTTTAATTCTTGGCTCAACTGTGGATCAGTACGTATCAATTTGACTGATGGGAACTCCACAATCTAGATACTATGAAAACTTGGGGCACTGCACGTTGATCTCTTATTTCACCTTTAAGACACCATGCATGAGGAAACTATCATCTTTCCTACAGTTATCTCAGTCACTACTTGTGTTTCTCTTCAGCAAGCTAAGTAATTTCTATTTCTTCAAGTTAAAAGAAACGATATTTTCCTAATTTTAATCACTTCTCTTTACCTCAGAACTTCCTGCACCATTTCCAGAATCCTGTTGGAATATAGACTTCAAAATTAGACACAACGAGGGGTGCTGACATTCCGGTAGCGCTCTGCTAATTGCATACTTGTACCTTAGCTTTAACTCACAATGGAATACAATGAAATACAAAAGAATAGAATGTCATGACTTCACTGAGCACTCACATTATTTCCCCAAATGACTCTAAATCCATCTCTTATCCAATTATTTCCAAGATGTCACTCAAAGGTTTTACTATGCAGCAGATACAACCTGCATTTATGATTTCCAACTGTATAACCTGGCATTTGGTTGCATTTTAAGATTTTTGTTGCATTCTGACCACTTGCTATTCACAGAATCACACAGAATCATCTAGGTTGGAAGAGACCTCCAAAACCACCGAGTCCAACCTCTGACCTGACACTAACAAGTCCTCCACTAAACCATATCCCTAAGCTCTACATCTAAACGTCTTTTAAAGACCTCCAGGGATGGTGACTCCACCACTTCCCTAGGCAGCCCATTCCAATAATGCCTAACAACCCTCTCAGTAAAGAAGTTCTTCATAATATACAACCTAAACCTCCCTGGCGCAACTTTAGCCCATTCCCCCTTGTCCTGTCACCAGGCGCGTGGGAGAACAGACCAACCCCCACCTTGCTACAGCCTCGTTTAAGGTACCCGTAGAGCGAGATAAGGTTGCCCCTGAGCCTCCTCTTCTCCAGGCTGAACAATCCCAGCTCCCTCAGCTGCTCCAGACCCCTCACCAGCTTTGTTGCCCTTCTCTGGACTCTTTTGAGCACCTCGATGTCCTTCTTGTAGCAAGAGGCCTAAAACTGAACACCGTACTCGAGGTGCGGCCTCACCAGAGCTGAGTACAGGGGAACAATCACTTCTTTCACCCTGCTGGCCACACTGCTTCTTATGCAATCCAGGATGCTGTTGGCCTTCTTGGCCACCTGAGCACACTGCTGGCTCATATTCAGCCGACTATCAACCAATACTCCCAGGTCCTTCTCCGCCAGGCAGCTTTCCAACCACTCCTCTCCCAGCCTGTAGCTCTGCTTGGGGTTGTTGTGCCCCAGCTGCAGGACCCGGCACTTGGCCTTGTTGAACTTCATACAGTTGGTCTCAGCCCATCAGTCCAGCCCATCCAGATCCTCCTGCAGAGCCTTCCTACCCTCGAGCAGATCGACACACGCACCTAACTTGGTGTCATCTGCAAGCTTACTGAAGATGCACTCAATCCCCTGATCCAGATCATCGATAAAGATATTAAAGAGGACCGGCCCCAGTACCGAGCCCTGTGGGACTCCAATAGTGACTGTCCTCCAAC